TGGATACTTTTGCAAGTTTACAAATAAGTATGATAGCGACTTTTGGAAGAAGAGTTAACATTTGATGCTATTTTTTCAGAATATAAAAAGATTTTGTTAGAGGATATGAAACTACTTTAAATACAGGTACGTAATCCACCAAAAACTAAAAATCGAAAAATTTTACATAGCGCACTTTGCAAGTAGACTACTCAATTTAAGAATTGCATTTTGATTGCATTTTTTTATTTGCATGCAGCTGTGCATCCTTCTCCTAATTTTATATCACTCGAATAGCAAGTACGTTGTAGTGTTATTCAATATCTTTAATTTGAGCCGAGGTGGAAATGCTAATCTCTGGTGCAGTGATCGGACTTTAAAAAAATTCTGTGTGGTAGAATCTGGGAAAAAATGTGGTAGATTTCAAAAAATGTGGTAGATCTCTTGGTTTGGATCAAACTTTGTACAAAAATTAAAAAAATTCGGCAAGGTTTCACCTAAAGTGCAATCTTTTTAATTAGACCCAAAAAATTTTTAATTTTAGTATAATAAAGTGCAAGATCGAAGTAGCTAAAAATTGCGTTGAGTTTTTGCAATTTTTTTCCTTGACAGTGTAAAGCAGTTCCTTCCATATTAAGATATTTTTTCGAATATAATTTAAGAGATTTCTGCAACCTTGCGGAGTGCTGCCAGCTTTTCTTTTTATCACATGACGAAGTAGTGAACACATGTGGCACGTTCCAGAAACAGCTAATTGGGATTTGCCAATTTTGGCAATTCTCAAGTAAAAGTAAACAACGTCTCAGAAACCTTTAATGCACTTAAATTTGCTAATACTTTCACAAAAATCTCCGTTTTTTTAAATTTACATTTATATATCATATATTTTGCAATTTAACACAATAAAACCGTGGTTCCTGTTGTTTCCCCCAATTTAGTTTTTATAATTTTTCAAAACAAAGAAAAAACGTTTGAAATCAAGTGAGCCATATAATTTTTCAATTTAATTACAAGCAAATGTTTTTTTCCGGCTTTTGCAAATTGATTTATTTCATGGTAGGAGAGCTTCTCAAACAATATAGAAACAATTTTTTCGATTCAAGTTGTTGAAAAGTAATAAGTTTTTAAATCCCGGGGACTAATCCCGGGATCCCGGGATTGTGACAACGTCATCCCGAAAAGCCGGGATCAGAAAAAGCCGAAAAATTAACATCCCTAATATGTACCTATGTTTATTAATTTACGTAGTAACGGGTTTCGTTTCTTTACAGAACCATCGTTCCCCGCACTAACAAACACACATATCCGTATAACTCGAAAACTCGCACAGCTTTAAGATAAATATGGAACGTAAAGGTGTAAATTCAGCCTTCATAAATCCATTCGGCCAACGGCCTTGGATGGCGAATACCGGCGCAGCAGCACCTTCAGCGGGCAACAAAGGTGTGAAAGGCATTGTTGCTGGTGGTATTACTGGAGGAATTGAAATTTGTATTACCTTTCCCACCGAATATGTAAAGACACAATTGCAGTTGGATGAAAAGGGTAAGTGAGTTGGGCTCGGCTTGTTACAAGGCAATTTATTGGGGTTGAAAGGGAAATCTTTTAACAAAACATTTCTAAAACATCGAATCCGAACATACAATTTTGTTTGTAGAATAAAACGGCACTCGTTTTAACGCCCGAAATTCGGGTGAATGCCGTAAAGAAGCGCTAAGCAATATTATGTATTTAAACTGAAGTACGAAATAAAATGAGTCTTACTCTACTCATAGCTACTTAAATGTATGGTCCATCTTTGGACAATATCTGTACAAGGGCTTTTTTAATCGTAATCGCAAACGAATTATCACTGGAAATTCGAGGCGTTTCATGGTGAAAGGCATTTAGTTTTATAGTTTTGAACAATATATGTATTGAAATGTTTCACACAAATCGAATATAATTAATTTTAATTCAAATTTCAAAACGGATGATAATTCTTTCAAAAAGTACATATATGTAAACTAAAACTTTCCAAAATATATTTCGTTTGATAGCCATGTTTTAACAATTCATATAATTAAATTAATATTAATTTAACATTTTAAACAGGTGGCAACCCTTTTAAAACAATAAAAAAATTTTAAAACTAAATTTTTTTTAAAGTCTTCTATTTTACATTCATAATGTTACATATAACATGTGCATAATTTAACTACATCCGACTTTTCAAAAAAGTGGCAACCCTCTTCAAAAGAATTTTCAAACTGAAATTTTCTTAAACCTTCTTAGTCCGATAGGGTGATACATACTTCAATTAATGAATGAAGTTAAATTTGACTTTTCAAACAGGTATCAACATTCTTCAAACACCTAAAAGATATATCATATGTTCATACTGAAGATTTTGTTTTCATTTCACACCCATGTTTGAATATTTCATTTAGATTTTCTATAATTTAATTAAATTCGACTTTTCAAACAGGTGGCAACCCTCTTCATAATATTTTGAAGCTAACACCTTCTTGAACTTCTTTCTTAAGACACCCATATTGAGACTGACGGCGCACATCTGATCTAGGAAACAACAATACGTATAACAGTTTATGCAATGCCCTAACTAAGTCGTATGACTGAGCATTTATATAGGTATAGATATGTTGAGAATGAGTCAAGAAAATGTTTAAACACTTATATTTTTTTTATCGATTTCGCCGATTTGAAATATGACAAATTTTGAATCACCTGCGGAGCTTACACTTTAATTTGGCGTATAATTCGATTCTGTAGCTTTTTCAGATCGCCCTAACTAAGCAGTAATTATGTATAGAATGAGTGAAGAAAATGTTTAAACGCTTATATTTTTTCACCTACTTCACCGATTTTTTTGGATAATCTGTGGAGCTTCCACTTTTTGATGTACCGCTCAATTCTTTCACTGCTTCAGATCGCCCTAACTAAGTCGTATGACTGAGCAATTATATATAGAAAACATTTTGTATCACAGTTTTATTTCAAATAAAACAAATGGAAAACAAGTAACTTTTAAGCAAAAAACCGAGCTTAATTCTTATATAAAATATTAAGGGTACCGTTAGTTTCTTCATGATCCAATGATCGGATCTAAGCCAAATTAGTATGTGACCACCTCTGTGATACCACCTTTCCTTAAAAAAAATTATTACAAAATTAGCTTAACGTGGTCCAAAGTTATGCTGCAACATTCATAAAAAATATATACGAACGAATCGATAACCTCCTCCTAGTTTTGAAGTCGGTTAATAAATTAGTATTATTTTTTATAATTTCACTAAATTCATGTTAGTATTGTTTTATTAAAAAACAACAAACTTAACAAATTCTTAACGTTTACTAAAACCTTAAGAAAAATTAAGCAAGAAGGATAGGCATTAACACATAACCAAAGATCACAGAAAATAAGTATCGTATTTATGGCTCAGAAAAATTGTTTTTGGATCATAGTAAAGGGAGACTCGCATTAAATTAATAAAGAAAACCCCGAAAATCGGGACTTAATCGGTGCAATTATGAAAAATCCGCACACTTATATGTCCCGAGTTTTAAAAAATGTTCAGCGGGACAATTTTATCATCGGTACTGTCCCGCCAAAATCGGTACGAATGGTCACCGTAAGTAGGCATCACCTTTCCTTCCCACATTGAGAAAAGAGTCAGCCAAATATATTACCCTCAACACAGGATTTGGTAACCATTACCAATTTGAGCTGCTAGAAGAGAATAGTAAGCGAACAACTTTTTCTTACATCAAATCTCTGACTGTCACCGTTAAGTTTCCTCATTCTTCTTTACAAAGTCTCTTCTAAGCATAGGATTGTTGCTCTACACTTGCTTGAGCGTGCCTCTAACCTAATTATCGGTCTATTCGAGCTTTCAGTACTGCTAATACTTGCAATAGAGCACTTCAGCGTGACCGAGCTGGCTTTTCGAATTACAGTAACGACGAATTATAATAACTTTTGTCAACGTTGGAAAGCCCATATGGGATTCTGAGCCTCACCTGAAAATACTTTCTTAGTGACATAGCTTTCCATTTTAATTACAGGTGCTAACAAAAAGTACAATGGCATTGCCGACTGTGTGAAGAAGACTGTCAAATCTAACGGTTTCTTTGGTCTATATCGTGGCTTGAGCGTTTTACTCTACGGCAGTATTCCCAAATCGGCGGCGCGGTAAGTTTGGAAAAGAATCCAAAAAAGATTCTAGATTACTTATGTAGTACCGTTATTCCTTTTTTTTCTCTCAGGTTTGGTGCCTTCGAATTCCTGCGCAGCAACATGGCCGACAAGAACAATCAGCTCACCAATTCAGGCAAACTTTTGTGTGGTCTTGGTGCCGGTGTCTGTGAAGCCATTTTAGCTGTTACACCCATGGAGACTGTCAAAGTAAAATTCATTAACGACCAGCGTAGTGCGAATCCGCAATATCGCGGTTTCTTCCATGGCGTCAGCACAATCGTGCGACAGGAAGGTTGGTATCTAGGTTTTAAACTTCCTTAGAGTCTTCGCTTTATTCACACATTGCTTTTAGGTTTTGGCGGTGTTTACAAGGGACTTACACCCACCATTCTCAAGCAGGGCTCGAATCAAGCGATACGCTTCTTCGTAATGGAATCGCTGAAGGATCTCTATAAGGGTGAAGATCCGAATAAGCATGTGCCTAAGCTAGTAGTGGGTGCTTTCGGTGCGGTAGCTGGTGCGGCCTCAGTGTTCGGCAATACACCACTTGATGTGGTGAAGACACGCATGCAGGGTCTAGAGGCAGCCAAGTATAAGAACACAGCGGATTGTGCTTTGCAGATTTGGCGTAATGAAGGTGTGACAGCATTTTACAAGGGCACAGTGCCGCGTCTAGGTCGTGTTTGCCTGGATGTAGCCATTACCTTCATGATCTACGATTCGTTCATGGACCTATTCAACAAAGTTTGGAAAGCATAGACAAGGAAAGATGAGCAATACCTGCGATGCGAATAGAAGTGCATAGTTGATCTAAAATATAGGAATGAAACCTAAGACGCTCATAAGTGTGTTAATATGTAGTTATGCATGAACATAATAACATGCATTTACATATTTGTATGTCTTAATTTACAGTTGTAAATATACATATAAACAAGTAAGAATATAAATGTAAAGTAGCAACATTTGCGGTGTAGCATTACAACAACGCTAGTTAGTTATAGATTTAAAAGACAAAGTGCAGAAATAACCACCTAGTCAATTGATCCAGCTAATGTATGTACAAAAAATTATATATACATACATGTAAATTACTGCAATATATGGGGTCTCGCAATTAAACAAATAGCCTTTAGTGTGGAACATGGCCAAACTTAGATACATATGTATGCACATATTTACTTACATAAATAGTCCATGAACGGAGATCAATTTAAAAAATAAAACAAACGAATTTTTTCTACCGTAGCAGAAATATTTTTATCGCATTTATTGTTCCTTCGTGCGCCCATTTTCATAAATGAAAACATATTTACAAACATAAAGAAGCATGAAAACACTTACTTACAAATATTTGGTTACTCAATGCACTCTTGTATTTTTTAGAGATCTATACATACACATATTAGTGTACAGTTGTATGCATTTGTATATCAAAAATATTTACATAATGTAAATTTCATTAAAAGCGCATTTACTTAAAAAAACAATAAAAATAAATGACATAAAGAGGTATGTTAAAAAATATAAAAATTACAATAAATTTATTGTGTTTTGTTGGAAATATTTTTATAGATTTTTCAAAAATCATTTAGAGATCGCGACTTGTAATTTTAGATCAGAAAGTACGGTTTTGTAGATTTATCAGCTTTTGAATGATGACTGGTTTGCATTCAATTTTAAAGATCGAACAGGTTGTGAGGAGAGGGTTTATAGGTATAATAATCTATTGTCAGACTTGGATTGTTGGAAGTTTTCATCGGGCAAATAAAAAAAAATTTTTTCTTAATTTTTTATCTTTTGACCAAAACTTATTCCTACAATTTCAAAATACGTATGTAGCACTATCTAATATTAAACCCATTTTCAAATAAACTGGTACCGCATTTATTGCGATCGCATAAAAATTGTCGAAGTTAGGCAACTATTCTTAAAGCTCAAACAGTCAACGACGTAGCGTAGACGTAGGTTGACGCAGACACGATCAACCTTATGGGATTCGCGTGTTAACCAAAACTCACCACCACATGGCGGTGACGTTGCCGTTGCTTCTCTCTCGCTCTATCAACAGTAAATTTCATATGCTGCTACGTACGTCCATCTACGTTTACGCTACGTCGTTGACTAACTGCGCTTTTAAATACGGCTTAAAATTTATATTGCGTACATATGTATGTACCGGACTTTAATTATTCAATTCCTTTAAATTCAAGGCATATTCAGTTCCTGTAAAATTAAAAAAATAGACTTATAATCTTTTGAATTCCAGTTCTCCATATTTGTTTTACGCTGTATTGAAAAATTATAACCTGAACACATATAGACAAGTTTTAAACCTATATTTTTTTCTGTTATTTAATTTATACATATTACTTTTTAATAGTGTATTTTGTAACTAAACCGTATAAACTCTAGTTTCAAACCCTGTGCAATATTTAAACAAAATTCAATAAACTTTCTTAAAAACTTCAAGTTTTTTATCAGAATAATTGTCGGCCGCTATGGTGTAGTGGTAAGCAGTGCGCGCTTCCACTCCGCAACGCATGGGTTCAAGCCATGGTCAAAGCAACATCACAAAAATATATAGAAACAAGTTAGAGCAGCGCTGTCTTCGGCTATGCCGAAGGCTTCATACCTTTCATGAACATCTGCAAATTTTACTTTGACAGATTACTGCTTTTGAATACATCTGCATACATCGATAGAGGAGTTACATACTTATATAAAAAATCGCATCTAAACAATCAGAG